TCCAATTAATTTCTTTCTATTTTTAGTAGAGATGGGGTCTTGCTCTTGCTCAGGCTGGTTTCGAACTCCTGAGCTCAAACAATCCACCCACCTCAGCCTCCCAGAGAGCTAGGATTATAGGCATGAGCCATCGCGCCCGGCTCCATTAACCACTTTTTAATGCTGCACAGCTCATCTTCCATTTGGGGACACTGTGACGGGTGTGTCGGGCCCCCTCCAGATCAGCCAGGTGGTGTGGGCTCACCGACGCTCCATGAGGCACGGCAGGAACCTGCAGTCCGGAGTCGAGGGCAGGTGCCACCCGCACACTGCTCTGTGCCAATGAGAGACGTGGCCTGGGTGGAAGTCCTCGCTCTGCCGCGGGGTGACCTAGGACCAAGCAATCTCTGCAGGGTCTCAGCGTCCTCGTCTGCAAAACGGGAATAAGACCTCGCTCTCGGGCCACTGAGGGATTAGATAATGCGTGGGAGGCACTAGCACGGCGCCTCGTGTGTAACGTGGCTCAGGAAGCGTCAAGTGGCTCACCGTGACGTGCCGTTAACCCAGCTCGTGTCAGCCCTGTCTCTCTCATTAAAGAAATATAAACTGTTCCTCTGAGTCCAGGCTTGGGAGTGATTCTATCCAGAGCCAACCTCAGTTGAGGACCAGCCAGGCCTGCCCTGCTGGGGAGGACAGGAGAAGCCACCAGACTGGACCAGCGGTGAGCAGCCCAGCCAGGGCTCTGCCAGGGACTCCTGCAGACGCAGAGCAGACAGGGCCCGACGAAGGGCAGGCGTGTGCGCAGAGGCCCCGTGGGGGCACCGGGCAACGCAGGCAGAAAACCTCAGGGGGAAGGAAGCCCTTTCACTGGCCAAACCGGAGCCCTCCCTGCGGAACAATGAATACTCCATCATTGTTTGGCCTTTAATCACATTTTTAAACACTTAACATACGGACATCTGTTCCTTGATGTTTCGTCTTTGTTCATCTGTCATCCTCAAAATGAAAGTCCAGAACCTTCCGCACTAATTTTAAAGTCCGGCTGAACATTGAGTAATGAACAAAGCTGAAAACACAAAAGAGAAGAGCTGATATTTTTAGAACTTGTGTATTTTTACTGACCAGTTAGAACATAACCATCTCTAGCTGCAGCTTTTGTTGTCCATGCCGCCAGACCTTACATAGGTTCCAGCACCTGTTCTCTCGCCCACCCTTCAGCTTTCCCACACTGAGACACAGAGGTGACTCGCCTCTGCTGACTGTCCGTGCGGCACATGCAGCCCCCAGACCCTTAGCACAGGGAACCCCCAGGGAGTGCGCTGTGTCTCAGAGAGGGACACAACCCGGCGCGCCGAGCAAAAGGAAACATGCAGTCACAAACCTGTTTAAATTTTCCTCTAATTCTGTCTAAGTCTTCATGGAGTTTATCATAAGTAGGGTCATCATAAGGGAATTTCTGAATCATTTCAATCAATGATTCTAAGACTTTCATCTTTCTGCTGTAAAGCACAGAAATAAAGACTCTTACTCCTTGGTTCACAAGAAGCTTGGCTTATGTAACAAGGATGCTGTTTGCTTAAGTGCTAAGAATGCCTCAGTTCAGAAGCGGCGTGATTATTTTCTCATTACACTAAATAATGTTTATTTACCTAGCAACATGCTTCTACCCACACCCAGCACCTTGACGGCAGTGTGTTCCTAGCTCGCGGGTACACTTGTCCCAGTTGCGGGGGCTGAGCAGCTGAGGCAGCCCACAAGCCACACTGGCCCTCGAAGTCACACACACAGGAACAGACAGAACTAGGCAAGAAGGAGAGTGGCTGGGCATGAGCAGGCCTGCTCTGGATCCAGGATTTTCCAGGATCTGGAGTCTGTGCCCGCAGCCTTTGGAGTCCAGCTGCAGGTTAATCAGCAAGCCCCCTCCCCGCAAAGCGCAGAAATCAGTCTCTGGTCTCTGAGGTTCCTTCCCAAGGAGAACAAAGAGCTTTGCTGAGAAGGCAAGGAGATTCTGCAGAAAAGGCACGCATTTAGGAGCAGGGCGGCCGTGAGTATGACTGCTCTGATACTGGTTATTTAACTTACCTGAACCTCGGTGTCCTCATCTGTAAAATGAGGACAGTGACAGCAACCTGACAGGCTTCCAAGAGCATTAAATAACCTATGTGAAGCCTGGGCTTTTGTACAGAGTAGGTGCTCAATAAATGTTAGTCTCCTGGCTTCTACCAAATCCTGGAGACCAGGGCTCTCCCTGGCGGGAGTTTAAAAATAATCCACACATCTGCACACTGGGTGGTCCAGGCCTTTTCCACGTACCACAGGGATCCCGAGGAGCGCACCTCCCTCGCACCGCACCTGAGCATCTGAGTGGCTGCAGTGTGCTAGGTGTTTGATAAATGGGAATTCTAAAGAACTGATCGTTGGGACGAGTCGAGTGCAATTCAAAGCAACCGCGACCTCCTGCACACATGGTAATGGTACTTAGTCGGTGCTTTTAGACACACAGGTAAGTAAGTTCGCCAATGGCAAACCAGGTTGTAAGAACTATGATCGCTACCTCTTTGAGAAAGTACAAAATTGTGAAAGGTCAAAGCAAGTTAATTTAAGCAACAAAGTACCTGGTTCCCAGGGAGACTGAAGGCAGATGCCAAAATGTGGGAAATGGCCGCATTCTAACATGACACAAAGAGTCCCACCCATTGCCAACTTTGCAAGTAGTGACTTATCCTGCTCTGGTCAACGACGCGACTCTGGACACACCCAGCCAGGCGCACAGTCAGTCGGCGCATGTCGGAGGGTGTGAGCAGCCCGGGGCTGATGGTGCCAGAGCCCCAGAGCCCAGCGCGGCCAGTGCTGTCTGCAGAGGGTTCGCCAGGCTTCTGAAATAGGGGCTGGGAGCGTCTCACACAGTTTCCAAAAAGCTAGTTACTTGACTGAAAGCCCATCTTTTAGTCTGAGATGCCATTCTCTGTGGTTTCTTTGGTGTTAAAATGCTCATTCTTTTACTGAATGACAACACAGATGGCAGGTGTTTTTCTTTCAACATCCTTATTTGGAAAAACTAAAAAGCAGAAGATCCTGTATCAGCTCTTTAACATTTCTTAAAAATCATACTGACTAATAAAATCCAAACATCTGTGAACTGCTGCTCTAGAGTAAAGCCCTTAGGTTCCAAAGAAACCTCTGGGTACTGCGGGGTGGGGTGGAGGTGGCAGCAAGGTGGGTCTGGCAAGGCTTCCACCAGCCCTTCGTCAACCAAAGTGGCTCCTTCTCTATCTCTTAGAGAGACTGGGGGCACTGCTTTAAGATGTTAGGACACCCTGCTCTGGGGCAAGGGCTGGCAACCTCCTGGTGTGGCACCAAGTCACACACAAGAAAGCACTTCTCATAAGCCAGAGACTCTGGCATGAGGGAGAAGGGAAGGCAGGGGAAGAACTCAAAGAAAGAGCCTCTCCTCGTCCTCTCTGGGCCCAGAGTCAAGCGCCAGGCTCAGCTTTGACTGCCACCCAGTGGTGGCACAGGCTCCCAACAACCACTCCAACTGCGTCCTCAGCTGCCCTGCCGCTCCTAGTACTGAGAGAATATCCCCCAAAGTGTCCCTCTGCTGACATAAGAATCTGGCCAACTCCCAACTGCTCATCCAAGTAAGTAGACAGAGCCACCCATACTCAGTTGCAAGCATCCTTGTTCTTACACTTGAATATGGGTGTGGCCCATGTTCCAGAAATTCAAAGTATTTCAAATAAAAGAACAAGGTCCACGGACCGGGGTGCCACTTTCCCTGCTGTTTTTTATCCACTCTCCTCACGCCTCCTCTCCCATACTAGGCGAAGCCACCAGGTATCAGAATGATGCAAAGCACCAGCAAAGTCCAGTTTTTCTGTCTCCCACAAGCAACAGAGTGGCCAGACCACCTACACCTTCTACCTAAGGGTTCATTTCTAGCTTAAGACCAAAAACAGTTAAAACAGGGTCACAGGGGCATTAAGTAGGTAGAACATAGAAATGATAGTTTTAAAAGACTAAAATCAATTCAAATAATAGCTAACATTTATTTAGTGATTACAAGTACCAGAATTGAATTAAGCACATTTAAATGCATAATCTCAATAACAGAATTTTTTCATATAGTTGGCTATATTAAAAAACTGGTGACAATGGAGTCACCATTTCTGAGCCCAGGTCATCCCAAGACTGTTGTAATCTGTTTATTAGAAGCTCAGGGGAAAAAGGAATGAGAAGATATAATCAATTTTAACATAATTTTATTGGCAGGGCATTTAAAAGCCACTTGGTGCACTGATGACCCAGGGAAAAGGCGGGAGACTACAAGAACTCTTTCGAGCAGTAACAACAACCAGTACCCATTGAACACCTAAAATGTACCTGTACTTCCTATTTATTATTTTCTTTAAATCTCCTAACAATATTCAAGTTTGATATTATTATTTTCTCCATTTTACAGATGAGAAAACAGACAGATTAATGCCCCAAGGTCATTGTTAGTAAGCTACGGAACCAGAACTCCCAGTCCACATGCTGCAAAAGAAGTCCCCAATTTTACCTGTCTTTCTCAGTGGCACAACTGTGCAAGAGACATTTCCACGCAATAGCAAAACCTTGATAACACCCGATCTGTGAATTGAAAATATATTTAAGCGTGAAATTAATAAGCAATTAGTTATACTTTGTCTGATCACCAAGATCTCAAAATAAAGGTGGGGACAGAGGGTAGTGCTGCTGCTCATATTACTGTTCTGGAAGTACCTGTTGAGCACCAGCAACGGAAGTTAGGAGGTCAAGTCATCAGCAGGGCAGCCCACCTCCAAGATGGCCCCAGCGCTCTTCATCCCCTGGCACTCATGCCCTGTGCACTCCCCTTGACACTCTACCAGGGGTAGAGGCTTGTGTAACCAACAGAATACAGAGGAAGGGACAGCACATGTCTTCTGAGGCAAGGTATAGAACACAATGTCACTTTTGCCTGGCTTGCTCTCCTGGGCCACCTGCTGCTGGATGTCATGAGGACACCCCGGCAGCGCTGTGGAGGGGGCCATGCCCACAGTCACATGAGTGCACCACCTCAGGGGCAGCTCCTCCAGCCCCAGTCAGGCCCAGGCTGACATCCCAGCTGCAGCCTCTTCAGACACCCTGAGCCAGAACCACCCAGCGAAGCTGCTTCTGAGTTCCTGACCCTCAGAAACTGTGCGAGGTAATAAATGTTTGCTGTTTTAAGCCCATACATTTTTGTGGGGACCTGTTTTGCAGCATCAGCTGTCTAATACAGTCTTAACTGCTTCAGTTCAGATCTTGCCACTTAGGGCCAGTTATCTGCGAGTGTGGGCCAATCCAGGAAAAAAAGAGCAAGAAGAAAAGAAAAATGATGGATTTTATGGAATTTCAAGGTAAATGTAAATGGAATATCTTCACATGACAAAGGGCACCCGTTTTTTGGGTGAGGATTCAGCTGGCTTAAGACTTGAGACAGCACCAGGATACTCCAGTGTAAACTAGGGAGACCAAGGACTTGTGTTCTCATTCTCTGGCCTGCATAATTTAACTATCTCTAGACAGTAACATGCTTTGTCTGTTCTACACAAACAACAGTTCTTCATCAACACTCTATCTAAGCTGGGTGTGGTGGAGCACACCTGTAGTCCCAGCTACTCGGGAAGCTGAGGCGGAAGGATTGCTTAAGCCCAGGACTTCAAGGCTGCAGTGAGCTACGATTGTGCCACTGTGCTCCAGCCTGGGTGACAGAGTGAGACTTTGTTCCTTAAAAAAAGAAAAACAAAAAAACTACCTAATCTATTAACTCCCATAAAGACACTGCAATTTTGAGAGCCCTGACATTCTGACTCGATCATACTGAACATCAAAGTAAATTATATCCTGTAAATGAAGATGATTCGTTTCCAAATGGGGTGTTCCTGCTTACCTCAGATCCAATTTTAGCTCCATGGAACGTGCCGTATTGTCTTCCTTCAATTATACCCAAACTACTGCCTTCTTCATAGCCTTCCTGATACCCTTCCCCATGAAACCTGTGAAGAAGAAGCACACTTCATCAAATCAACATGAGAAAGAGTATTTTTTTTCCTAGAAAAACCTTTCTCTATTACCCAGACTCAGTAAGACAAGGCAAAGTGTAGCGGAAAAAGCCTAAAACTCAAGTCAGAAGACACAGGCTCCAGTTTCAGCTCTACCGTTTCCTAAGTCTCTCCTCCGGCAAGTCACTGTATCTCCTGAAGCCCAATTCTCTTTGTCTACAACGAAGGGCTAAGTTAGTGATTCCCAAACCCGGTGGAGTACTAGAAACACACAAGGAAAATTTAAAGATATGAACTCAGAAGCCTCGCCCACCACCAGACATTCAACAAGTCTCAAGTAATGCCCAGGAATCTGCTTTTCAAAATCTCCTAGGGGACTCTGGTCTGCAGCCGGGTTAGGGAGCTAAAGTTCTGTGAGTCTACAAGCAACACTCACTCAAGTCAATCGATTCCAAAAAAAATACCTCTGCAACATACACAGGGCTTTTCGTCATATCTCAGTAGAATAGAGAGAAATGCCATCAGATCACCACAAAAGTATGATGACAGGTACCTGGAGCAGCACTGACCTTTAGGGCTCAACGGTGGAAAGCACACTATCTGAACCTACAGTCACCAAAGATGAAAGGAGCTTTTTGATGCACCCCGTGAAGCTGAGTGTATAGCTCCCCACTTAAGTTATGTGACCCTGGAAAGTGACTGTGCTTCCTTATCTGTAAATTAGAGAGAGTAATGGGAGCTACATCGTAAGTAGGGCTAAGATAGATAACTGGAGTTGAAAGAACACTTAGCTGAGTCAGCGTCCGACTCACAGTAGTGTTAAACGAATGTCAGCGATTGACTGTTAAATGTTCACTTGCTTTCTTAACTGACATCTACTGACGTCTCCCGTGGGCCGGGCGCTGGACGTCCGCCACAAGGCCACTCACACCTCCCCTGCTGTCACAGCACTAGATGCTCCCCAGGGACTCTCGAGGGAAAGGGATGACGTCTGTCACATTCATCAGCGTGTCCATGAATACTGCCGTATGTCCTACGACTAATGAACAAGAAAAAGTGGCAGCTCCCAGATGGCAAAGGTCTGTCCCACCAGAGGCCAGGGCGTCCCTGGAGGAAGGGAGGCGTCAGCCGAGCAGATGCTAGGGGCAGCCCCTGACAGGGGAGGCTGGTCTGGAGGAGCAGCTGGGCACGTGGCCCCGCAGGAGGGGCCCAGGCGTAAAAGAGACTCAATAGCATCTCAGCCCCACACTTGTGCCCTGTTTTCAGGGCCACAAGACGCTCTTCCAAGGCACACGCCCGCGAGACGCAAGGCACGAGCGGCCGCCGCAGCCCGCAGCCAGCGGTAAGTCAGCTGAGCGAGGACCAGACGCGCGGGCGGGGGTCCGGCCTCGCCACCCACCTCTCATCCGCCATCACGATGGCGTCGAACATGTCCTGGCTCCCAGCCATGGCGGCAGCCGGGCTGCCCCCGCCCCCGGGCTCCTGCCACCCTGCGCGGCCGGGCCAACCCGTGAAGCTCGGGCACCAACACACCGCTCCTGAGGACGCCAAGCCCACTTCCGGCAGCGGCTGCGCGGGGCAGGCCGGGTAAGAACGGCACGCGCGAGGGTCCAGAAGGCGCTGGCCCGGGGCCGGGACGCATGCGCGGCTGTGGCGGTGGGCGGGGCTGGGCTCGAACGAAGCCCCGCCCCGTGGCCCTGGGCCTCCGTGTTTGCGGCGGCGACTGGCCGCGCGTCCCCTTAGCCGCTCTGGGAGGGTCCACCTGGCCCGCGCGGGCGGAGCCGACTTTATATTTTAAAATCTCAGGCGGATGGAACCGAATTACCAAAAGTGGGTCGGAAAGAACCAAGGAAGAAATTGGAAAAGTTACCCAAGAACCGGCTCCTCAGCAGCCTCTACGGGTGCAATTTTCGGGGCTTTAGCTCTGTGTGTCGCCGGCGTGGGAGATAATTCTGAACGCGGTTCTTAAAAAGCTGTTTCAGTCTGTCGGCGACGACGGAGTGTGCCTGTGAAACGCCTCCCCACGAAAGTCGAGAGTGAAACGGGTGCTTTGTCACTCGACACTGGCCACCTTTCCACCACCTGGCCCAGGCCGGGAACACCAGCGTCGCCGTCTGCAGGTGAGGCGGCCCGCGCCCGCCGCGAACCCCGAAACAGGCATCGGAAACGTTCTCAGAATCCGCAATAGAGGTAGCTCTGCGAGTAGCCATTCACAGGATGAATAGCAAAACAAAACATTAAAGAACCACCCCACTTTCTTCCCCTTATTCCAACAATAATAGCCTGGGCAGGGGTGGCGATGGGAAAATCGCTTTATGTTAGTCTTAATAAATTTCTTTTTTTTTAAAGTATAATTTCCATTTTATTTTTTTCCAAAGGATAGTATTCCTTCGGTCCTCAAGGACGCAACTCATGACATGGGCTTTGGTGGAGGTCGCCGGGCAGTATCCGCAGGTAGAAATCGGGTTGGGGGGTTGGCAGGACCCTTGTTCCTCTTTTCTTTGTCATCTGGGAAGTGAGGACACGAAAGAGGCATCAATTTCTTAAAAATAAGAATTTCTAACAATTTTAATAGGACCTGTATGAGGAAAACTACAGGTACACCGTGATGCTGGATGGGGAGACGGAACAAACGTAGTACCAAGCAAAATTCCATGTGATTGGGGGAAAATGTGTCAAAATCCTAAATTTCATCTGCATGAATAAATTAGAATAACTAAGGCGTTTTTGAGAAACACAATAATATGGAGAAGTTGCCATACCAAAGATGAAAAGATAAAGTGTCAGTGTAAATATTGTGGTATGTTGGTTCAAGAAGAGACAGGTCCATAAAATAGGGTAGATTGGCCCAAAGTGAGTATGCCTTTCATAATCAGGAAAAAAAAAAAAAGCTATTTTAAATTCTTAAAAGGAAGTCGTTAAATGACAATTCACTTCAAGGAACTAAACCTTCATCTCATTCTGTATTCATCACGAATAAATGACTACATGGTTGGAAAAAGAGGCACTTCAGGGGCTTCAAATCCAAGTTTGATGCCATGGGGCAGGGTGACGGGAATTCGAGGGTTGAGTCCCTCTCGGTCCTTCTGGCTGAGTGTCCCCTCTGCTCCTTCCCTAACAGAGGTGCTCAGGAGCCTGCCTGTTTCTATGAGGACCGCTGGCAGCCATAGTGCTGGAGGCCTGGGTGGGGCCAGGGGCAGGGGCGAGGGGCCTGGTGCTGTGGCCAGTGACCAAAAGCAGGGCTCCTCTGAGCCTTCTCCTGGCTGCAGAAGAGGCAGTCTCTGCCCTGCCCACCCCCAAGGCAGCAGGGAGCCTGGGGGCTGCATGGCATTGACCAAGGTCGTGTGGGACAAGATCTGAGATTTGGGCCAACCCATGTGACCCAAGTCCCCTAGCTCCTACTTACTCCATTTTTCTGACTCTGCTTCAGGGACAGAGCCATTGCTTCCAAATGCAGGATGCAGAAAAGGCAGCTTCTTTCACCTTCTTTCCTGAAAGGGCAGGTGGGGTCCCACCAGCATTCCTTAAACATAGGCTGGTCTCAGGGGAGTCTTCCTTGTGCTCCTGTAGAACTACAGAATATCTGGGGAAGCAGCACAAGGATCTGGTGACAATACTTCCACTGGGAGGGGACTGGAAGTCTGAGAGGAGACTTACTTTTCACTGTATACCCTTGTATTAGTCAGGTTAGGTGAGGCTGTGCTGCAGTAACAAACAAACCCTGATGTCTCAGTGGCTGAGCCAGGAAGGGCTATTTCCCACGTACACAAAGGCCACTATGGATCAGGGAGCTCTCCTTCACCCTGCAGGAACCAAGGCCTCCCTAGTCGCCCAGCAGGAGAAGACAAAGATGGAAGAAGCAGGCTAGCTCCTAACCGCCTTGTCCCAGGAGAACACTTCTTATGTTCTGTTGGCCACGTGGCCCTGAGCAAACCTCAAGGGAGCCTGGGAAATGGAGAGCCCAAGGATGCGTGGACAACGCTGTCTCTGCCACAAGGCTTTTGTGCTGTTGGGATTGTTTTTAACCTCATGAATGTGTGGCTTCTCCAATTTAAAAGAAAGAAAAGAGAGAGAGGGAGTTGTTATCTAATATATCTGATATAACAGGTGGGATATATTAGTCCTCTCTCCTCACCCAACTGAACAAAATGCAGTAGGTGCTTTCAAAGAGATGTGCCGTAAGCACATTTTACTGACAATTTTAAAAACTAGTTTCTCCAAAGCTGTAATTTCCAAAGTAAATAAAGATTTAAAAGAAATAATGAAAGTTTAAATATCGGCAGACACCAAAAGTGCATAGCTTACTTTGCACAGGATCTAGCACATAGTAGGTGCTCAGTAAATGGTTGTTGAATGAATATGTGAGAATGTAGTGGGGCAGGAGGCAGAGAGGACCCCTCTGGGCCTTGGGAGGAGGACAGGCTATGTTTGCCATGGTGTTTGATCATGGCCTTCCGGGGTCATCTCAATAGAAAGGGTGACCAGATAAATGGTTTTCTTCCAGAGCTCAAAGACCTTTTACCAAAACCAGACCCAGCCTTTCCGAGCTGGGTCCATGTCCCTGTCTGCAGTTGAGGAAGTGGAGGCATGAAGAAGAAAAGACTGGCCCAGCCCTGGCAGGTTTTTGTCACGGTGGTGATGCTCAGAGGTGGTGATCCAGTCAGGGCCACCCAGTGGGTCCGGGCAGGACCCAGCTCTGCACCATCCTGTGGGCACAGGATTGTCCCTCTATGTGGGGACAGTTAGGGCTCATGTCCCCTGCTTGGGGAGGTTCTAAGAGGGTCTCCCCACAAGACAAACACCCCTTCATTTGTTCAGAAGGCTCAGCGCTGGGCCTGCAGCGTCTGCCTCTGCAGAGCTGTGGCCTTCCTCTGGCCCCAACTGGCCCCAGACTTTTCCTCTCCTCTGCCCCCAGCCTGCCCAGGCCGCAGCCCTTCCTCCTGCACACATCCCTCTAACCCCGGCCTGGGGGGACCCCTCCTTCCCCATCTCTGTGGAGCACCCAGAGGGCTGTGAGGGGCTACTCTTCCGTTTCCTTCTCCCTCCTCCTGCCCTGACCACTCCCCTCCCCAGACAGACAGCAGCCTCCAAAAGGCAGGGCTCTGGCTCCTCCTAAACCTCGTGCCCCCACTCTGCCCAGGACGGGGTCTATGGCACTGAAATGCGACGAGGCAGTAAAGAACGGCGAGTGCTCCTCATCAGCTGTCATTCCTCCCCGGCGATGCTGCCAGGAAGCCACCTTTTTTGGCATCTGAAATGCAGTCTTGCCAGCTGGGCGTGTTTCCTGAGGGCATTCGTGGAATTTAACTTCTGGTGCCTCAGTTTACTCATCTGTAAAGGGAGAGCAATACTGGAACCCCCTTCTCGGGATGGACATGAGGAGGAGTACCTCGCATGCACGAAATATGATACATAGATAAATAAATATTGTGAATGTGATGAATTCTTGGTACATTGTTAATGTCAAGTTGTGGAAAGGATAGAGCCCGCCTCTCCCTTCGCCCCCGTCGGTTTCCGGGCACACAGCAGGGCCTTGGGGGACACTTGCCCAGGTTCCTTCCCTTCCTGGGACCCGGCTGCGAAAGCGGGCCCGCGGGGACAGCGGGCCAAGCGCGCGAGGGGCGGGCGTGAGCGCGCGGCTGCAGGTTCGCTCCGGGCAGCGCCCCCCCAGCCCGCTCCCGAGGCCTGGCCCCTGCGCGGTCCTGGACCCTGCGCGGTTAAAGGTGCCCCGGGACCCCAAATCGGGCCCCCACGGCAGTGCACCTGCGGCCCCGCGCGGCCCCTCCCCGCGCACCTGCCACCAGGGGCCGCCATCGCGCCGCGGGAGCGCCGGGTCTCCGGTCCCGCCGCCCTGCCCGGCCTCGGGCGCGGTCTGGCTGGAGAACGCGCTGCTGGGCCCCCGCCGCCCCCAGCCCGGCCACGGTAAGGCGGATTAGGACCTTTGGCGGGTCAGACAGTTTTCTTCCATCATCACTTGCGATTCTTAAAGACCTGCTTTGGAGATGGACACGGTCAGCGCCGCGCAGGGGAAGACATCGAGGCTCAGGGAGGTGTCCAAGCCCCGCCCCAGCCCGCACACCTGCCGCGGTGGCAGCCCGCCCGCCTCCACCTACTCAGCTCCTGTTAGGTCCCGTTCGGCCGAGATTGAGCACGGATTCCCGCTCAGAGCGCTCAGATCGCATATGGGGAGAGGGGGTCCCAGGCCCAGGTGACGGGTTATTGGGTTTGGACCGGAGAAGCAGGATCATGGAGCTCTGCCTCCCAGGACCCCAGGGAGGAGAGCGCTCACATTCTGGATGCTTCCCCTGGCAGCCTGCCCGGGTCTGGGCCCAGCGGCTCCCTGAGCTCCATGCTGGTGTTGGGGTCCAGGCTTCAGGCAGGCCCGGGTACCCCCTGGGCATCTGTCAGGAGCCACAGAGCAGGACAGCTGACAAGCAAAGGGGCTCCCCCATGCCCTGTGAGGGCCCGCCCAGCCCCCATGTCTGGGGAAGGCAGGACTCCCTGAGGCAGGGGGCTGCCAGCCAGGCAGTGGAGGGCAAGCTCAGGGCCTGGCTCC